GCGATGAGCCTGATCAGTATCTAGATAGATGACCATTTTAGAATACCAAGTGCTGTAAGCTTGGATGCATGGGTGGGGTAATGGATAATTGCTCAGAATTGTTAATTGGAGATCTAAGTTCCAATTCCTGTTGTCTTTGTTATATTCACTTACATGCAAATACCTTTGGGAAAGGAATGAATCGATCTCTTCTCTTTCCAACTATGGGTTAATTAGTAATCCACTCCAAACTATTATTATCTCTAAAACAAAAAAATTTTTGCAATCAAAAAATATTTTCTGGCTTTAAATAACCATTGATAAACTGTAGAAAACAAATTACTCAATCTACCTAACAAGCTTATATAAATGGTTGGTAGAACAGGGATTAGGAGAAAGAGGAAAAAGACAAGCTTTACTGAGAGCTACAAAGGAGAAGTTATGGAGAGCCATGATCACCTACACACTGAAGGAATATGTTAGATAAAAGAAGAATTTGAAATTAGTACCAAAGATACTAGCCTCTCTTTCTACACATGAATTTTAAATGTATATGCTTAAAGCAAAAAAAAAAATGGAATTAGATCACCTCCTGTTATTTCACAGATAATTTTATATAATTTTTATAACTTTAAAAATGTCTCCTCTGATAATAGACCAACTATATACAACTATTCTTCCTTAAAATCTTCATAGGGCACTGTATTCATTGGGGGTGGGGGTGATATTATTGTTTCTCGGTCCATTGTCCAAAATGGAACAGCTTCACTATTGCAGATTTCATTACTACAATTTATTAGCCCTTTGAAAGCTAGCTGAAAAGCTTGTATAAATGGTTGGCAGATCAGGGATTAGGAGAGATAGCAAAAAAAAAAAAAAAAAAGACAAGACTTACTTAGAGCTACAAAGAAGAAGTTGTGGAGAGCCATGGTTGCCAAAGTCCTAAATTTTATTTACTAGTTTTACAAATTTTATATATATTAAAACTCCAAACTCAGAGGTAAAAATACATACTCATTAAACACACAGCTTTAAAATGGTAACTTTCAACTATTGGTTCTCAGTTCATGAGATTCCAGGTGTGCAGGTGCTGTAACAGATAGCAGCTCAAAATGAGAAATTGGAGAGTTTGAATTCCAGTTGGGTTCATTACATTCACTTAGGCACAAAGAGCTTTGGGAAAAGTATGAATCCATCCCCTATTTCTAGCTATGGAATAAATTGTAGGACTTGTGTCTGGAAAAATCAATGTTATTCTAAAAGACAATTTGTTAATGCAATCTTCAATAAAAAAGGAATCCTACAATCCAAAATTTTAATAACTCAGAAAGGGTTGATAAGCTGTAAAGTAACAAAATTCACTTATCATGACACTCCAGTTTTATTCACATGCCTCTATTACTATTGTTTGTTTTTAAAGAGATTATTCTTTCTGTACTTCCCAACTGTATCTCTTATTCATATGGTGTTGTTCTGGTTTGTTGACTTATGTAATCATCACTTCACCAGTATCTTTTTTTTTTGGGGGGGGGGAGTAAATATAATCTTTTAAACCTTTATTTATGAAAAATATCTCCATAATTCAAGCCAAAATAATTTATTTTTAATTTCTGAAAGATAATTTACAGTTATATATTATAATTCCACTGGTTCCTTCATTTTTTAGTTGGTCAGTACATGTGTTACACCTTGCCAATACCTCATAAATAATGAACTATTACCACTTTGATTGTAATGGAAAAGCAGAAAAGACATATCAGAGATGCCATTTGGTTTCAGTGAAAGAAAAAAACAATGATAACACTTGTGTTTTTAATGTACACTTCAGTGAAATGCAAAAAACTTGTGAATTTTAAATCTTTTCAGTTGTACCCCCTTACTTCTTTAAATAATGCACTTCATTCATACTTATAATTGTTATGTATCCTGAATCCTTCATAACAAATTCAGGATGTAGATTTAGTAAATACTGAACACTTCAAATATGTCAATATAAAGATCAGTTATCAAAAATTTAGCATAGGAGATAAGGAAATTGAACATAGAATAGTCAACACTAGAAGTGGCTATAATCTCATGCAATTAACATCTACTTCAGTGAAATGGAAAATTGTGCCAATTTTTAATCTTTACATTTGTACCCTCTTGTTTCTCAAAATAATGACCTACATTTCTACTTTTTTCTGTGATATTTTGTTAAAGTTAAGCTCAAATATTAAATGACACGGTAGTGGAATTTCATGAATACTTTATGGCTGTAGAACTTGCAAGGAGTTCAGTCATTAACTTAATTATGATTCAACAGAAAACTCATATTGGAAAACCAGAAAATTTTCATGGGTACTACTAGCATACAATAATAGATTTCTTAATTGCAGTGAATATTTTGAAAAATGAATAGATTGTTCTTGTTTGTATCTCTAAGGTGGGTTAATTAGAAATTGTTTTTCTTCAGATCTATGAGCATTTAATGTAATCTTATTAAACTAATCTCATGGGCTATTGCTAGTGAATTAAATTATCATTCATTACTGCAGTAATAAAATCTTGTGCTACAATACTCAGTAAAAAGTGTGTTCATTGCTGTCTTAATTGACAATTAAAACAAATTTGTCATCTTCTATTTTGATCTGCAGATTATTAAGTTGTTTTCATTTGTAATTTTTATTTCTTGATTTAAATTTGACTGCTGAAGAGTAATAATTTGCAAAGCAACATTGTAATTTATTTTGTGAAATCAGTCCACACTGGGCATGACATTTTTGTTCTAAGTAAGTCTAAATTTAGTCAATTCTAGTTTATTCAAGTATTTTTTATTAATTTAATTTTTAGATAATTTCTATTGGCATATTGATGAGATGAATCACTAGTTGGCAGGTTTTATTATGGGCACACATCTCATTTTTGTGGTTTTGTTGTCAAGGTTACAATGATGGTTTTTTTCTTTTTTATGCAAATAATTTGTACCTGGCCTCTAAGTGAGGAAATGAAAAATCATACTGACATCTAAAAACATTTTTTATGGGAAAAATTTATGCAAAATATAATGCATAAATGAAGCATTTGAAAATTATTTTTTATTGACTAACTTGGCTATTATGAAACTGATGTTTGAAATCAAGTTTTGTAATTGACCTTTAGCAGTCAATGTGTTAACATAATTGCTTTTCTGTTCAGATTCTTACCACAAATAAACATTATTTATATTCTGTGCTAATATGAATATATACTTGAAAAACAAGGTGGATAAAATAAGTAAAGGTTTACTGTACAAAACCAGTACAATAAGAATAAAGGTAACAGTTATGCACAAGGTCGTTGCAAGTCAATCTGGTAGTGTGTGCTACTATTGGAAGGTCGGTAGTTCTTGCGTAAGTCTGAGTTGTACTCAACGGATTCTGGCTAGTCTCTGTAGTAAATTGACTTACAGATACTTATAGTTAGTTACTTATCGGTGACAGGTTATTCCATTACATCATATTCAAAGAACAGTTTTCTGTGACATGTATGAAGGTAATTTCTTATGATACTCACTAGTTTTTACTGGTGCTGGTAATAATTGATTTAGTAAAAAAATTTTTTTTGTATGGTTTGGTCACATTATGACACTTTCTAATTTTGAATACCATTTTTTTGCTATAATGAGGATTGTGCCTAGCTTTGGTGTAATTTTTTCAAGGAGGTTTATCAGAAATGATGATATTGGTAATATGAGCCATTTCCTTTATAAGGAAACATTTGGCATTCATTGACTGAACCTTTAAACTTGCTGTTGGTTGAAATTTATAAAAAATCCTTCTCCTAAAAAATTTTATCAGGAAACTAATTTCTCAAGTTCAGTTGCTAATACTCTTTCCAGTACTGATGGGGGTTTTTTTCCTTGCTTTTGTTTAGAGTAGGGTGGAACGTCAACATCTTGATAATGTCATTATTTTCTCTTTGAGTTACATATGTTAACCATTGTAGTTGTTGATGCTGTTGATAGTCCTCAAGTGATATGATTTCTATTTGGTACAGTTTTGTTTGTGATTCTGTAGCACCAGTCCACAAGGACATTTGCTTGAAGCCATTTTTAACAATTAATTTGAGAAAGTGGTTGAATACTGCTGACAGTTTGGATTTTTTTTTTTTTCAAATGAGTTTGGTGCCATGCATGGAATCCATAAGAAAATCTGAATTTGATGAGGTTATTTAAGATTATGACTAGAGATTTTAGCTTAAAGTTTTGGTTTTTGTAGCAGCTTGCAGTGTTGAGTGAAATTATTTTGAGTACAACCTATTCTATGGTCAATTTTTTTATTTTTTATCTTGGATATTAAATTTATTTTAACTGATAAAAATACTAAGGTATTTGAAATGTTTATCATTTACTAATTCCACATCTTGGATTTTTACGAATGATTCAAGATACACACCATCGCTTTTATTCCAATTCCAAATCATTGTTTCTGTTTTGGAAAGATATTATATCAAAATTTACTTTGAAATGATACTTCTTTCTTCCAAAGTAAATATAACAACTATTTTCAAGGGTTTATCAGTTTTAAAATGCGTAACCTATGAAAAGATAGTATATCAGAAATAATTGACCAATATATAAAAATAAGTTAATATTTAAATGTGGCCAAGTTATCAAAAAAATAATTTGAAGATTGTTAACATTCTGATTTAAAGACAGGAAAATTTAAAAACTCAAATTGATAGTTACTAATCACTTATGATCTAAAAAAATTTTGCCAGTATAGTATATGAAGCACTATTATAAAAATTAGAAATTTAATTAAGAAAACATTTTTTTTGTGTGTGTAATTATAAACCTTAAATGTAGTTATTTTATCTTTAACAATATTCCTTTATGGTTTATTCACTTTCAATGAATTAAGAAATTCTTATAAAATAGTTATATTCTATATTTTAATAATAATTTATTGTATTTTGTACTAATTTTTGCTATCCCCACTTTTTTCTATTTTGAGCAAAAAAAAGTAAGAAAATTTAACTTTGTTTCTCTCTTCCTTTAGAATACAATTCTCCTGCCTATGAATCATTGTCTTTTGACCTACTCAAGGAACGGTTAATTTCCATTGGTTACCCATCTGCTATTTCTGAATTTCAATATGATCCATCCTTTCCGGTCAGGTAAATATGTTCCCATACTTTACATTCTTTATTGTTTACTCATTCAGTTTGAAGATGAAAAATACATTTGGAAAGCAGTTGGGGATGGTCGGAGTTTGGCAAGGTGAAAGAAAAAAAATTTTTTTTTCACTTTCAAGACCATTTATTTGTTATTGCTTACACCTCACCAACAGATTCACTATCGGTTCCTCTTACTTTGTAGTTGATCAGCCAACAAAGTTGATTACAATGGCTACTTATTTTTCTCTTTTACTTATTCATAATCATCATTATTTCAAAACGGTTAAATGTCTGTACTCAGCTAAAAATTTTACCATGCCAACATTTATGTTCATTACTATCAGTTCCTTGGATACAGTATCTATATTTGGAATGGTCTGCCTCGTTCTGTTATTCTTACTTCTTCCTAAATAATTTTCAGACTCTTCTTGGTAATCTTTCACCAATCCTCAATCTCTTTCAAGGTTCTAATTAATTTCTAACCAAAATACATCAGACTTGCTAGATTTAGTTTTTCAAAAATAGAAATTACTGGAATTATTTTAGAATACCTATAAGACATTTGTCTATTATATTAAAATATTTTAGAACCAACTCCCAAGAGGATGCTTCCCCGACCACTACCATCTTAATCTGTTCGAGACTAGGATTATCTTCTCCACATATCCCCATAAACTGTGCCTGTACTCTGTAACCTTCTACCTCGAGTGGCTCTTGGGCCTTCTACAGAATGAACATTGTAAAAAAAATAAAAAACTACAGACACAACAGATATTTCTGTGTGTATGTGTGTTGGCATTACTCTAAACATTCATTATTACCAACACTTTATTTTTCTTTTTAACTAAATTTTAATTGCTGGCTTTTAAATTTATTAACTCTAAGAGAATAATTTTTCATATTAATATAATGTATCTGGATTTTTATTTTATTTTAATCATTTCACCCCAAGTCAGGGAATGAAGCCACTAGTACACAAAAAGTTACTGAGTGTTAGAGAATATGAGAAAAACTACTATTAAGGAGAGTGGACAATAAAAGAGTAAGAATTAAGAAAATAAAAAATAATGATTGACATTGCATTTAAATTTTTGAAGATCAAAGTTGACTAGGAGGCAAGAAACCAGAAGAGAATTCTACAAGTGAGAAGTCTGCTAGAAGAAACTTTTAGCATAGAACTTATGGTTATATCTAACCATTTCAGTTGTAAATAGGTGAGACCTTGCTGCCAATCTAATACTCTGCTTAAATTCATACCTTCTAGGTAACATAAAGGAAAGTTCATCAGAACAATTACCATGATTGTATTTTATAGAAAAGGCACAGGGAAGCTCTGTTACAGCGGTGGGAAAGGGACTGAAGCCAAGATGCAAGGTCAGGACCAATAACAATAAATTGATCAGACTTACTAGTAAGATAGGAGTAAATAGTTGTCATCAGCATAGATACCAAGTTGAGAACTGATGACATCTGGAAGGTCATTTATTAAAACTAGAAACAACGTAAGTTCAAGGATAGTCCTTGCAAACACCTTTATTTATGCAAAAAGATCTAGAAGAGTGGCCATTCAAGATAACTTTCATTTCATGATTTGATAAAAAAAAATGAATCAGTTCAAAAATTCATACAGATATATAACCTTTCAACTTGTGAAAACCAGTATGCCAAATCCTGTCAAATGCCTTTGAGATATCCAAAGCTTCACCATTCTTATCTAAAGCTTGATAGTCTTTCAGCAATAATCATTAACACATCAGCAGTGAGATGCTTAACCAATTCAGTGTTAATTAGAGCATTTAGTACTTTGCCAAAAAGAGAGAGAAGGCTAATAGGCCAATAGTTGGAAGGATCAGATGGTTCACCTTTCCTAAAGCCTGGAATTACAGAAGATAATTTCCAACAAGCAGGAAAACAAAAAGCAGCAAGACATTTCTTGTAGAGTTTAGAAAGAACAAGAGACAGTTCAGAGCACATTTCTTAAGGACTATTGCAGGGAGTCCATTAAATCCATATGTTTTGTGAGGATCCAGTGTAGAAATGAATGGAGTTATATGCATATCACTCAGTTCTAAGTGGAAAGTCAGGTAAAGGTACTCTGGATGAGTCACGAGTAGAATTTAAAGAGAATTTATAAGTAAAACATCCTGCTTTATCAGCAGATTTTAACACCTTAAATAAAGTAAAGAGAGGAGGGGTAGAAGAATTACTCTTATTTACATTACAATTACAGAGGCACCAGTAGTCACATGAACCAAACTTGTTAGAGGCTATAAGGTTCCTCATTCTATTGGCAAACAAAGACTTAGCCTCTTTGAGGAGGACGAATTTAGAATTATTTTGAGCAGTCACAAATAGGTGTCTGTTGTGATCAGAATTATCATGCTAGTACACCAGGAAAAAGTGATTCTGATGGGCTTTAGAGGCTGAAAGGGCTGATGTGAACCAAGAAGATTGTGATTTCACCTGATATTTGCAAAAAGGTACAAAAGCATCAATGCCAGCTTTAACCCAAGAAGAAACCTGTGGCACAATTCTCAATAGGAAGGTTAAGAATATCAATCCAAGGGTGTCTCAAACAAAGTCACAAAATGAATCCTAATCAGTTTGCTGATAATGGAAAAAAGAAGTATGAATAGGATGTTTCTTTTCTAATAGATGACTCAAAAGAAAGATCAAAAGATACTACAGTGTGATCTGAAATGTCTAGAGTTCAGAGTTGCAATGTTTGATAAGAGTAGGATTAAAGGAACAGATCATGAACAAAAAAGAATGTTGATCACATTTTGTCGGGAGAAACAAGTAGGGAAATTCACTATTTGACTGAGCAATGAAATAATTGAAAGTCTGAATACTGGCAACATCGGTAACATTAGCATGATTAAGCCACTTGACATGATGAGCATTAAAATCACTAAACACAAAAATATTTGCAGATAAATGTAGAGTGAGACATTTTGTTTGATATATTAGACTCCTGAGAAGGAAGCAAGTGATAAATGAAAATGAGATAGCTAACAGAGTGCAATAACAAAAGTTGAAAGCACATGAAAGAATCATCTGGTGACTCAAGAGACAATTCCTTTGCAATTGGAAGATTTTCCTGAATATAAAGACCAAGGCCATGTATATGTATGCTAGAATCTTTTCAACAAAAAGAAAGATAGCCTGGAAAATAGAATTCATTGGTAACAACAGAAGAATTTAAATTAGCTTCACATAGTGAGGACCATTTGGAGAGAAAAGATTTTAACAATGCAAAAATTAGAATGAATGACATGAATATTGGAGAAGGAAAGGTTGAAGGAGTAGGTGATTTTTTTTTGTGTACTGATTTACATGTATTTTTTTGCATTGCATGTGATGATTTGTTTTAAGAAGGAAAAGACCAAAATAATTATCACCACCTATTGTCTGTGTCTATACAAACTGGACAGAAGGTGGCTAAGACAAAAGCATAATGTGGCCTCAAGTTTGCCCACAGAAAATACATGCAGGGACACCTAACCATATGCAACATGGCACTACAAAATACTCCAATATTATGCAACTGTTGATCAGACCAGCCTGTCTAAATGCTATCAAAGAGTTTGGGCTCCTTTCTACCAGTTGAAAGTAGCAATCTGAAAACTGCCAATCTGGTAGCCGCATAATGAAAAGTTGTAGCCACTGATCAGTCAGATCACCAAAATATTAAACCATTATGGTCATGGAAGAAAGAACAGGTAAACCATTTCCTAAACAGGAAACAAGGGGTAAACATTTACTCCTGTTCAATAAACATGGAAGGAGCACTGACCAGGCAGTAGGTGAACCTAGCTACTCCTATTAACCTGTTTACATCACAGGAGGCTGGGTGCCTATATTAAGACACCATCTCCATTTAAAAACTTCACTTAAGGTTATCTCAAGAGTTGAAATCAAAGTAATATTTACATAAAATTATATCACTTAATCTCGTCGAAATTAATAAAAATTTAAAGTTTAAATATACATGCACCATATATACACATAGAAACATACATAAACGCATAAACACTTATATATAGTTTACATTGGATGTCAGAATAAATACTTTGTCATCAAATATATCACTTATTATTATTAATTACTGTTATTATAATTTCAGTGTCTGTGATAAATAATAGAAACCAGTCAATAAAATAAAAGGATAAAATTATCAAATATATATGAGAGCATTTTTTAATTATTTTAAAAACTTAAAAATTAGTTCTAAAGTGAAGATTTGTCTGATGTGTACACATTTATCAGATTCAAGTTATTTTAGCTGAGCCTGGACATGCTTAGCAATTTTTGAAGTTTCAGCCTTATTTCATTCTTAAAATAATATAATTCTAATAAGAGTTAGAATTTCTAGTTATTTTTTTTTAATCATTTCCTTCCAAGCAAGGCAATAAAGCCACTGAGATACAAGGGGGTGACTGAGTGAGAGAGAATGAGGAAAACACTATTAAGGAGAGAGAATAATAATAGAACAAAAATTAAGAAGACAGGAAATAATGATTGACATTGCATTTAAATTTTTGAAGGTCAAAGTTGATTGGGAAGCTAGAAGCTGGAATAGCAATGTGTTTGAATTTTTTAAAATTTTTATTCTGTCTTTTTATTAAAAACTGTTTATGCTATTGTCTCTTGCATCTGTTGATTAATTTTTTTTCTGATTTTTTTTAAAAAGAAGGATTTTATGAAAGATTAGAAAAATTTGTATTGTATAACTCTCAATATCAGGGCACACTTTTGTTCTTGATTATATCAGTGCCCTCTTCAGTTCTCAGTTGTATTGGTGTACTCATCGGTTCTTGATTATATAGGAGTGCTCTCCTATTCTTGAATACATCAGTGCTGTCTTCTGTTCTGTTCATCAGAATCTTCTCTTACATCAGAAAAATAAAATCACCCAACAAACAAGTGATGGATCAGAGATCTTTTTTTAACCAGTCAGTGCTGAGTAACTTTGCTAATTTGTGTGGGCATTTTGTTTA